GTGAAATACTGGTGGTACCAAGATCGGTATACTACTAATCATAATTAGATATGTGAATCCATAGATATTTTCTTGGTCTTGTGGATTTTAAAGAAAGAATCGAGAAATGGAACGTGCTTGAAAGTTCCCATCCTATGAGATAAACCAAAAAAATGTTTTTTTTTACTGGGTAGCGTCAAATGAGAGCTATAGTTATAGAAAGTGAACATGTCTATTCACTAATGTCCGAATATCCCACCCAATCATTTTGAATTCAAACTGCTCAGTATGATATAATTTTAATGTGAATCTGAACCGAGGATCATGCTTCATACTTCATGCTGATGAACAATCCGTTGCTCAGTCCTCAGTCAACCATACCATCAAGAGACACTAGACTTGAGTTTCGCTCTTGCAATAGTTTATCAATGGTGCATACCCATCACGTGAATCTTTCGATTGCAGTTCACAATGTCTAACATCGTTTTCTTTCCGAAGGGCAAAACGAACTGAATCGATAAATTACGATTCGATCATTCTCGTTCGATAAAATAGCCATGGAAAGGTGAGGGGGTCGGTGAGTGGAATTTTGTATGACAGATCTAAAAGAAACGTCATTCAATCGTTCAGACAGATAGTTCTTAATGAGGCTTAAAACAAAATGAAATTTTCCATTAACAGCCAATTGATCTCATGGGAGACGAAGAGCCTGTGCACGCGATTCTATTTCAAGATGTCTTTCGCAAACTAAAGTATTGCACAAATCGAACTAATAGGAAGCAATCTACACCAAAAGCCGATCTTACATCGGGACAAAATCACTGCACCTCAGAAAATGGTACAAAAGACACTCACTTGATAAAATCCTCACGACAGAATAGTTGACCTTCTCGAGCATAGCATCGATCGGAGAGTAAAATTCCACAGGTAAAACATCGCAGACAGGCTTGATGCCAGAACTGGTCAGCCATACGACAATAGAACTGATCGAGAATAGCCTGCTGACAGCCGATACAACGCACAGCACACGTGTCCTGTTCGTTCCATTCCAAAAGGCGTCGTGGTAAACTGGGTACAGTCTGCATGTTAACCCCGGGAGATGAGATAGTACGCGACTGGGACCCAGAAGATTTTGACTGTATATTGACCATAGTACAATCTGATTTGTTTGACTGTGTCGAAGTCAGATTACATTTCTGATAGGTTAGTTGGGCGGGAAAATTGATTGAACCGCCCGTGCTGACCAGATGACTCGTGATGACGGACGTGGAAGAACAATCCGACGTGGAAATAGGTATAGGTCCACCATTCTCATTTACCTCATTTACCAGGGGCCATAAATCCGTGCTATTTGGGCATGTATTATTTGTACTCAACGGAATCATCATAGTCATGATGAGACCGTCGTGAGTTGAGAGACAGGTTATCTGTTCTCAAGGACACACGTGCATGGAACACAAAATAGAAAGCCAAAACCTCGAACAGAAGGATCGCAGGCCCTGCTCGGCAAGTCTTCGACCACCCGAGAATGGGCAGACAAACTTGATTGTTCACAGCACGGGATCGTTGTTTTTGGTCGTTCTTTCACCTGTGCATCGGCATACACACAAATACACACACACACGTGCATGCTTACAACCGCATCGATGATGGGTAAGCAGACAGACAGGCCGACTGCGTATTTCATTTGACACACTCGCGTACCTCGGGGAAGAGGCACGCGCGCGCGCACGTAGAGGCACGTGTACGCGTCTATATCGGGGCTGTATGTGTGTGTCCCGCGCACCGATTGGTCCAGGAATAGAAGCTGATTTTCTTTTCGATGCGTACCAATCGGACGATCATATCGGTCCGGCTATTCCCTGATTGGTCCTTCGTAATATCGGCTGACCATTATGTGGTCCGTTCGCATGCTCGAAGTACCGACCGACTGTCACGCTCCGATAAATGTGCGCGCATACGAGCGATGTTTGTGTGTGCGCACGCGCATGTGTGGTCCACATCTGATCGCCTCAAATGCAAGCATATCGAATGGATTCATTTAAATGAATTGCGAATTATACTGTGAATTTCACCGTGTACAGTGTAGATGAAGCGTGAACTGAAAAACGAGGCCTCGATGTACAAATGTTCACATCTGGTTGGGTTTCACCAGCAGTGTGAATCCATCGACCCCGCGTAAAGAATTGCCAATACCGGAAAGTGAATTCACTGCGCGAGCATGAATTTTTCGGTCGACCAGCCGATTAGTTGAACGAAACGTGCATAAGTACATTTTTCACACATAAGATGCGATAAAAACAGAAGAGTTAACCTAAAATCCCTGATAATAACTCGAACGATGACGGCAATCCTTGATGCTTGTGCACTTGAAATGCAACACCTGGCCACTGAAATCGATGAGTTTGCAAAAAAATAATAGGCAATAATAGTTGATACTATCAGTGGTATTTGAAAACCATCTGAAGAAAGTATTGTGTACCGCAGATCGATAAAATGCGGTACAAAACCCTGAGTTTGAAAACTCATTCCTCATCAAATAAATCACTTTGGATTTCCTGTCGAAATAAAGAATTCAGTGAAAAAGCGTATTGATATCGATTGATTACGTCAGACACAAGGTTTATATATTTTATCATAGGTAGAGTACGAATGACTGGACAGAATTTCCTTGGAAACGCCCATTCCGTTTCGTGGTTCTCGCAGCTCGTCAGGCATGCATATCCAGCATATATATACATAAATATATATGCCAGTATATGCATAGAACCCAAGTCACTTTAAGATTGTGGCACCGGAGTATTGAAACTATGGACCAGCCAGCTCACGGTCCAGATTTGAAAATGTCTGACCTCTATTTCGCAGGCGGCATTACTAGCGGAAGCATGTCTGAGAGTTAGGTTTCAGTCGCGAATAATAAATTTTGGCTTGTTTCTCTTTGCCCGACTGGGTATTTTCATCATTTTCTGAGGTGGGGCTTGGAGAATTTTACCAGTTCCAATCGATAAATTGCGTAAACCAGATTGGGGCGAATGGCACTATTTAATTAGTTTGATTCGAAACCTATAAACCAGCAATGCCTGAGTTATTCTGTTTAAACCATTGTAGTTTGAAGCTAACGTTATGGTTAGTTAAATTGATATGGGTAAGAAAACAGAACTCCCCCCACCTACGGTCAAAACAGGTAGCAATTCGGATGAATACCAGCGATTTAATAAATGACAGTCTGTTCGAAAAAGGGGGAAATTCCACTGCAGCCAAAACAAAGGCAACGTGAACTTGTTCCGCTCGACCTAGACGTACGGTTAAAGCAAACCCGTCTTGTTTAGCCTCCAGCAATGAATGCGAAAGAGAGGGTGTAAATTGGAATACGTCAACCACAGCGGTGCGACATGGTATGAAAAGCGCGGATAAAGTGTATAATCGAATGTGTATACGGGAACGCCACACTGACGTGCCAATGAGATGCATCCTGGACTATCGGAATGGGGTGATCGGAAAATCGTTGTTTGCCCCCGTTTACTATCATAAATTTTGGACTCTTGGACTTGTCTTTAGTGTCGTTAGAATGCTTGTGACACTGCGTGCGTGAACCCGTGCGCGGCTTGACGGGTTCTTTGAACAAAACAGAGCTGACAAGTCGGAAAGTATTCCAAATCTGTTTCGGCCTTGTTCGGTTTCAACAACCGTATGGATTCATCGATCGAAATGACGATCGAACCGAGGACCGAATCATTACACTGAAGGCTACTGCCGAGAGATGAGTGCGGTAAGTTGCTCATCAAGAGCCCGGCGAAATCTCGGGTTTGATTCCTCGGGCGATATCCAAGGAAGTCGAAACGAATGTATCTTGATTTCTAACGTTTTTGCTTACATTTCATCATACACTCAAATTATCAATAATATCATAGACCATCATTATCAAACAGCAATGTGTTCTACAAAACTGATGCAGATGCAAATTGTGTTTGAATGATTTAGCCAAAATTCCGAGTGATATATTCCGTTCTATCCTGTACATGAGCGGACATTTGAAATTCACCAGACACCATAAAATGGCCAAAACAAGAGGGATACTGTAGTGAGATAAGGTGATGATAGATGTGGACAGATGACAATAAATACAATCAATGAGTGTTCGATTTGAACCTCTATTCGATCCCCCTCCCTCCACCCGCCCACACATACCCCGAGTCTGATGAAAAGGATAAGAATTGAAGGTCAGAAACCGGATACTGGGTCGGGTTGAGTCCTGAACCTACTCTTGACGTCTGATTTACCTATTGCATTCATCGGCTGTAGAACTTACATGGTGTTTTATCTGTATACACCCCTGGTCTGAACACCCCCCTCCTCCCCTCTCCCTCCTATCAGGAAGGGTACAAGTCACCGAATTGGTTGACTGGAATTTTGTCGAATCGATTTACTGGACAAACATGGAATACATACAAAGTATTCAAACATTGAGCGGATCAATATTCGCGAAGTCGATAGCCAAGTTGACTATAAGTCACGTGCGATCGGCAGAGGGTGAGCTGGACTCAGTTACACGATTTGCTGCTGTGGTCTGATTTGAAATCTCATTGTACACATGACTGCTGTTGTGGGCAGAAGATCAAAGACATGCTCACTGAACTCCGCGTACCGATCAGGATAGACTGCACTAAACAGGTCGGTGACGCGTTTGAAGACACTGGGCGCTAAAAGGTAGGTGTTACCAGCAGTTCACCGCTATCATTCCTTCACTCCCTTTCCTCAGTTCCAGTGGACTGAAAATGGTTGAAGATTGACAAAAATTGACGCAACACTTTTGATCAGTCTCAGTCGGGACTGGCGGATACAGGAGCAAAACATGTGTCATCTATACAAAGAGTTTGGATTTCAACTACCGGACAGATGGCAGATACATGCGAAAGTGAAACGAGTGTCTCAGTGATATCATGGTAACTTGGAACCACAGAATGTTCCCGAAATTGGACTGTACCATTGTAAATTCAATAAATAAATGCCTAAAAAGAATATGATCAGAACAAGTTGTGTGATTATTAGTAAAAACTACAAAAGCCAGTACGTGATCTGGAACCAAACAAGCAACTTCGGTGTCATTTTTGGTGATCAACTTGCCGGCCGAATTGTGAGTGTATAGTGCGCGTATTGTTGTCGAAAAGAAAACAAATTTGTTATTTTCCATGTGTTCGTCTTGGTCATCGTATCAGACAAAACAAGGTTGTCAAGGGTAACTGTTGTTTAGTTAAGTGTTTATTTGTTTTATTTAAAAAGAAAACATTAAACTACATAATACAAATGATTGAAAGTCACAGTTGCTGTCACGTCAAATTGAGCTCAATGCATTGAAGTGACGGTCGGGATCAGCATTAAATGCAATGTGTTGTCCATCTCCCCCGCAACCCTACCACCACCACCACCACCACCTGTTCGAATCTATGAAGGATGTGCAATGGGCGCTTAAAAGATTAATAAGTTCTGTCGTTCCGTTCGCCATACGCTTTGCACTTTGAAAGTGTAAAGTGATCCTAGACGGTCAGGAATTAGCTAACGTTAACTGCTTCTCGTACTTAGATTACTGCGTGACAAACCACGGTAGCACATAAGAGAAGATGACCGCCCGCATTTCCAAGGCTCTGGCAGCGTACGCAGGACTGAAACACGTGTGAGGTAGACGCGGCGTCTCATTGAAGTTCAAAACTTGTGTATACTACACAATTGTACGATCAGTTCTGCTTTACGGTGGTGTGTCCTTGAATTTGCGGTTAGAAAACATCCGTCGTTTAGCAGTGTTCGACAGCCGATACCTACATAATCTGGAGCAGGTAGGATGGAGTGAGCGGGTTAGTAACTTAGAAGTAAGTCGTCGGGTGTTTGGGAATACATTGAGGAAGAATTGGCTATCGCATCGAGTTCAGCTCAATAGGCCCCGTTGGTTAGGACACGTTTCTCGTATGTCCGACGGTCGCCTACAGCAGCGCGCCTCATTCGAAATGACTGTTGCAGGCTGGAAAAAGCCGCGGGAAAGCTAGCAGATTACGTTGATACGAGGCATGAAAAAATGCACAGAGCGATTAAGTCGAGGAGGTGTCTCTCGCCTTCCGGGTTGGGGTCCAAAAGACTCCGTATCCGCATGGTGGGAGAC